ACAAAATGTTTTTCGTATGGTGTATTTCGTTTTGGCTATATTTTTATAAAGGCTATATATATAAAATGTTACATAAATTAATAGATTAATAATTAAATTAATATTACTGACGCGATCTTCTAAATATATATTAAAATTTTAACGTAGGTACATACCTTTAACTGAAACACTCTTTTGATGCTGTCAAAATGTGTGTACGCTATGAGACTAGTTAAATTAATAACATAATATAGATAATTAAATGAAAAAAAAAAAATGTACAGTTTTACAATATTCCTAATCTACATAATAATAATGAATTTACAAATGTAAAATTAAAATAAATTTTAAAAGTTTGGTTCTTTAATGCTGGTATTTCCTTATACTTATTCGTTGAGCGAAGAAAGCACCAGCTCTGTGGTCACAGGTACTATCTACCAGGCGCCAACTTAAATCTTTAATTAGCGCCTGCGTCTTCTGCAAAGAGAACAAAATCAAGTAAGAGGAAAGATTCTATATTGAGCCGTTTATTATTGAAATAATATAATTACTATTTGTTTCAATACCGATAGATAGAGATAAATTACTTACAACACAAGTAATTAATACTAATGACAAATCACGTGCATGGCGGATATTCGTCGAACATTCCACTTCATCCCCTTACATAAGTCACGATTTATGGAAAATCACATAATATAATCCTACTTTGGTAATTTCGAGTTCATTCATGTAACGTATTGAAATGCGTATTATGATCATTACTTCAAATCTGATGTCGAATATAAGAGTAGATAGATTTCTCTTATCTGTTCTTCTTTATCTCTTCTACTTTGCTCCAGTGAATAGGCTATCTCGCTCTTACAACTTCATTACTAAAATAAATAAAATATTGATATACTTTAAATTTTTTTACTTACTGTAATTGTGTGTATCACGATCTTAATGAGGTTTAAGTTTCTTTTTAGTTTTAGTATTTTTTTGCTATTTTTTTTATAGAACCCATGTTCTATAAAAAAATAGCAAACGGGCAGGAGACTCACCTGATTTTAAGTGATACCACCGCCATTCTCGATGCCAGAAAGCTCGCGTGTGCGTAACCTGTCTTTGAGAATTGATAGTAATATAATAAATATTTTTTCCTGCTAGAGGTATGCAACCTAAGAGTTAAGTTACACATATATATATATATACTAGCAGACCGGCCAAGCGTTGCTGTGGCTAAGGTTTTTGTTATATTACATAGTAGCAAACTATTCAAGGTAAACGATAGGAGAACACCAGTCATGGGGACCACCATGTTTTTTTGGTGGTTATACCATTAAATTGTACCTTATGTGAAACGTTGGTACTTTCAACACAGCGCCATCTGTTAGAATTGTGACTATCAAATAATAAACAAATATTTTGCAATAAAATAATATTGCGGGTATAAATTGAGATGTAAGCTATCCTATCTTTTAAGTTGGATCAAACTACACACGGTGTGCAAATTTGATTGATATCGGTTCGGTAGTTTAGGAGTCCATAGCGGACAAACAACGTGACGCGTAATTTATATATATTAAGATATATATATATATATATATATAGTTAATAATTAGAAGCGCAAACCAAATGTAAGCAATCAACTTACACTTGTAGCCAATTTGTAAAACGTGCCCTTTAGTTTTTTTATACACTCATAAATTGTAATATAACATTCGCGTTTCCGATTATGTACAATAGGTCGACTACACATATATTCTTCTTAGGTTACAGAAGTGTTACTTAGATTTAAGAACCCTTAACTAAGTCGAGTTAGTTTTTTGTTGGCGTCGGGGTAGTAGGGTACTGGGTACCCCTAGTTTTATGTTAGTTATAAGCTTATGTTTTAAACAATTTAAGCCAGTTGACAACCAGCTTTAAACAAAGAGTTTCATTTATTTGAACATACTGCCACCAACCACCACCGAACTTAACTCTTACATTTGTGCAGGCACCAGGCACTTCACTTAGACATTTGTTCAAGGTTGCAGAAAATAAATACTTCATTTATGGGCCTAAGTGTACGCTGCTATAACATGATTCCTAGTGAAATATTGGAACTGATTTTAAACATTCAAAACACATCAAAAAAACCTTAATGTGTAAAGGTTACTACACAGTCAATGACTACCTGGAAGATAAAAACGCTTGGCAATAGTTTGAATTCTTATAATTTAATTTGTGTGTAATGGTGAATGTGGAAAATCACAGAACAGATTTTTTTTTTTACTTATGTAACTTTAATGACGTTGTGGTTTATGATATTTTCCTTTGAATAATTGTTATGTAGAGAGAGGGTAAAATTTGCTGATTTTCTTGCCCGTTCTTCTCAGAACAAGGCCACCTGGTAGTTTTGCGAACGGATGGCGTAGTCTGGCTCTTTCGCTAATTTTGTAAACGTTTTTGACATTCATAAGCATGCGCTAAGAGGCATCTAAATTGAATAACGTATTTTGATTTGTGTGTACAATTTGTGAAGTCATATTTTCTTCTATATTTTAAGCATACTTAAAACGACGCTGTAAATGTTGTTGACTTACAAGTCTGACTTACCAAACAGTTGTACGAACCATTTGGATTCAAATAATATGAAACGTTATTTTATTTAGATGTTTTTTTTAAATTAGAATTGTTATTAATTATTTATATGGCCTCACAGTATGTAAATAGAACTAAAACAGCGTGGAAGAAGTTCTGGTCCTGCAAGATCTTAAAAGGAGACTACTCCATCTTCCTTCTATGTTCTAAATTGTACCTTCTATTGTTGTAAAAACTGTGTAGATAACTGTCAAATTTAAGGTTAGCGTTTTTGCAAAGGTCTCCAGACACCTAGTTCGAGTCCCGGCCGAATAGACCACACAGACCGGATGACGTAACTTAAATATTAGTATAACCTCTAATATCACCTCAAGAAGTTTAAAAACATGCCCAACTGTTCTTTTTAAACTGTGATTAAAGCATAAGGTTGCTAAATAACTGCAGTAACACGAATCTTAAAGCAAAATGACCAATTAAACTGTGCGGGATCGCTTTTCGACGCGACGTTACAAGTAAATTGTTGTCATACGAAGCCTTAATGTACAATGGGGCATTTTCTTCGCAAATGTACTTGAATAAATATCTCGCTTAAAAGATCTTTGACTAATCGACCGTCTGAGACCGTCCTTTTGCTGCCCACCACCACTTTATAATGTTTAAAGAACTTTATGTCATTACAAAAAATTGATAAAAACAATTTAAAAATATGGCGAGGGGGCCGATGACTGGCCATGCGTCATACTCGTGAACGGGTGCTACTTGTGGTGACTGGTCGTACTTGAATTTGTGTATGTGGAGATGTTAATTATTTCGACTATGTGTTTGCGTGTTGTTCCTACGAGAATGTAAGTGCGTGCTCCTATTTCACCATGCCTCCTGCTGATAGAGGACTACAATTATTTTTAATTTATGTTATTATTATTAATTATTTAAAATGTCATGTGGAACATAGTTTAATGGTTGCAGCTCCTTACAAACGTTGTGTAAAAAAAACATGGCGATTAAAAAGAATGGCGGAGAGTTTATTGCCAGTTAAGCTAATATTACGAATTTTAGAGGATAATTGATTAAATAATTGCACACTCTCATACTTAATTATTATTATTAACTTAATTCGGCCAGATAAGCAAACTCGCTCGACGAGTATTGCGTGTAGAGGTGTGTTTGATTTTATTTAATGATAAGATACAATGAGAAGTTGCCTAATAACTTCATAGAACTGCTTGTTGCAGATTGTAGGTAGCTACTGTAGGCATTTTAATAAACTATTCATGTAGAAAACGCCAATAGACCAAATTGGGGCCCACAGGAGAATTTTATTGTTAAGGGGGTTCAAAAATTTATTAACATTGTTTGGAATTCGAATTGCAGTTCATTATGTTTTGAAAATGTACTTTCTGTGTTTCGTTAAAAATTTCAGTCAGTCATCGCAGCCCATGGGCACTCATTTTAGTGGTTGCGTTGCTGGCCTTTGAGGGAGGAGTCACACTTTCATTAAACAATTTGGAGGTCGTATGTCCCAGGGAAGACCCTCACCGGGAGTCGAATCCACGGATCGCTGTTCACAAAAGAAAGTGTCTTGTAAAGCAGGCGGTGGAAGACTTTCAGGCATCAAGGTGATGCTCTTCCTAAAACCTGGGGCACGGCACAAATATGGTTGAGAAACACTAACCAGCATATCTAATATATTGGAGCAGCCCTGCCTTGACGACTTGGAACACGCACCGCTTTCGTATTGTTCAGAATAAGAAATAAATCCGCGCCTCTACAAACATTTCTGATACAATCCAAAATGTGTTTGACATAAGGAGGAAATTTCCCGTTCCCATTATTGATTAAGTAATGTTTGAGTGCATCACTTAAATGGCTATTTAGATTATTAGCTCTTGTTGTATTAAAACTAGGTCAGTCCTTTTCATTCATCCTGTTATCTCTTTCTTTGTACTTCGAATCTGTTTGCTGCATTCAATTTTTTTCTTGACTTTTTAAATAAAACAATTAAGTTCATACAATTTCGTATAATTCGCCATTTATTTCCATTGCAACAATCATTTAAATACACTTAAATTGACGTTTACCAGTTTAGATAAATATAAAATATTTAGTGAAATTATCCGAATTAACATATACCCAGCCTTTGAAATTGGATACTTTCACCAAATTAGATAAAAGTTATAAATCGTAACAATTTTTATATACAATAGCATCGTTTAAAACGACATTTATAGGTTTCTAATAAAATAAAGAAGCGCTTTGTGCTTAAAATGTTAAAATTTAAAATAAGAACATAAGTTGATTGTCTCCTACCGTATCTAAGGTTGATTGACATAAACAATTTGGCACTAATCTAACAATGAAAGTTCAAAGATTACATTTCTTAAATCTGTTCGGCAAGCCAAGTTTCAATTGCATTAACCAAATCGATAACAGAAAAAATTGGCACAGCATTGGCACTTTTACGATTCACAATCGTGGCATGTTTCAATAGATCTCTTCTCTTCTTCTTCGTTGATCTCCTCGCTGTCTCTTCCCAGTCTTATGAAGTGGTCTCGCGCTCTGTTCTTTCTTTGAGGGTACCCACTGACATAGAGCTCAGAACTCTGCTCGTAGTTCGGCTTTTCTTCCACATTTCTTCCCAATCGGATAAACTTTGGGTCACGGCCAAGACGGATGAAGTTCGGGCTTCGTTTCGAAGGTTCATTCTCGTAGTCATTTTCGTAAGTTCGCAGAAGTGTTATCAAGTCATCAGTGGTGAAAGTCAAGGGTTGGGATCTGCCAAAACGAAGGAAACTATTGCCCCGTCGCGTTGGTCGTTGGAACTGCTCCCGGATTTCAGCTGCTGACGGCTCAGGTGGATAGGAGCGACCAAACCTATAAAAATATAATTTAATTTAAATCTGAACAAATATTTTTTATGCAATGTCAACTGGCTCAACTGTTGTTAAGTGATACCGCTGCCCATGGACACTGACACTGCCAGGAAGCTCGCAAGTGAGTTGCCGGACTTTTAAGAATTGTTACGCTCTTTCATTAAAGAATGCTAAGTCGAATTGGTGCGGATATACTTCCGTGGGCAGCTGGTTTCATATAGTGGTGATGCATATCAAAATCTATGAGTTTCTTCTTCATTTGAATGTTATTTGGCATTTGTTTCTATTTATTTCTGACTAGCCGTTTCGCGCCCGCTTTGCTGGACGAATTAAAATAAATTTTATGTTTCATTATTTTATTTTTTTCATATTTTTATTATTCTTCTTTTTAACTTCCCGCTAAGAAAATTGAAATATTTCGAAAATCGAGTTTTAACAGATGTGACGTTTAGAGGTTCTAGGAAGCTCCCAATGTTTCCGCGGTGAAGTCCGTATGGATAAATTTTCATAAAAGTAAAACAGCAATAAAAATGAAGGAACGTTGGAATTTAATAAATAAATAGCCATAAACCATCTAGGAAAAATTTCGCATCGAATGGTGGTAGTTTCATGTCGATACGATCAGTGGTTTAGGCGTGAAGGAGCCTCAAACGAAGACCATTTTTCTTTTATATATATAGATTACAATAGGTATAAAAGTTATTCGGCACTTCGGTTAAAAGATTTCTTATAAGAAAAATATCGAATTTGCTTCTATTTTTCAACTCTTCCCCATAGTATAGGCCATTCCCCATAAGACAGAGTGGACGCCACAGCCAAGTTTTAAGTAGCTAATTTATTTAATAGTTTCAGTAACTTCGCCATTAACGTTGTTGTTCAATATGGAGTTTGACTTTTACAAAATATTTTTCTATAATAGGTACATATAAGCTACCTAAAAAACGTACTTTCTTCGCCTAACGCTTTTTTTTCAGAGACCCATTTATCTTGAATCACATCTTAATACATTCACTAACAATCTTACACATACACACACTTACACACATACCCCACCCATGTGGTTCCATATAATATACATTATACATATATATCCAGGATATATAATTTTTTGTTAACTGTAAAATAAAACTGTTTCTACAGCTGTGATTTTGACATTCAACACCTTTTGTCTTCAGTCACCGTGACCACGCGCGCTGTAAAGCACGCGAAACGTCGGAAATAAATTAAAATTATGTAAAATAATTATAAGTATTAAATAATACATAGCTTCAATCCGTTAAAAAAGTGTTTTTTTTTAAATATTATTATTGTTATTAATCTTATCGATATCTTCTCCTGTCTTATGCTGAAACGGAACGTATTCTTCTTGTGCAACAGTAGTTTAATTGTGTTTTGTAGAATTTATTACGTCACGTACCTAGAAACATTAATATGACAAATTAAAGAGACTTACTGCCCACGGAGAAAGAGAAAGTGCACTACTTTCTCTTTTAACTGCACATCCTTTTTTATTATGTGTAATAAAGTTAAAGTAGATAACTACAATAATCCTAAGTGACTTATTTTTAGTTCCCACGTCCTCCCCTTTTTTAGAAATGCATAAGCGAAACTATTATATATAAAAACATAATATAATGTTAATACCATGTACGTGGAATGTGTTTTACACAATTGTCTCGCATAATACTTTTATTATTACTAATTAATATTGCCACGGAAGAAATACAATGTAAGAATTCTCCATTTTCAAAAATGATTTAAATTCTCATTAGACGACCTTCACTTAATGTTAAAGATGAGTTTAGTTATATATCTCGAACTCTCTATAGTACAAAAATATACCTTATCATACTCCGATCGACGGCGCTTCTTCTCCTTGCTTCCAGATCTGGGGAACGCCTCACCGGGTTTGCTACCACTTCAGCCATGAGGCACAGAAGCACTACAGCAGCTGCGTGCTTAGTATTTGTCATTTTTAATCTGTGAACCAAAATACATCTAATATATAAAATCCTCGTGTCACAATGTTCGTTCCCATACTCCTCCAAAACGGCTCGAACTATTCTTATGAAATTTTATATTCATATTCAATAAGTCTGAGAATCGGCTATATCTTTCAAACCCCTAAGTGATAAGGGGTGTGTACCCCTAAATTTTTATTTTTTAGATAAAATTTTTTTTTTTTTTTTTTTTTCCCCCGCCCCCAAAAAATACATAGAACCCTTAATTTTCACCCCTTTAGTTCAACCCCTATTTTTTATTTGTTAATTAAAATCTTATGACTATGAACTCTGAGGTTTATATAGAGAAAAATCACAGAAAAAAGTTTTTATTCCGGAAAACCGAATAGTTTCTGGGGTAGCCCGTAGCATAGCAAAATGTCATGTTGGTTGTACTTAAAAGGTAGGCTAGGCATTAAGGAGAATCGAAGTTCGCGGGGGCATCTAGTAAAATATATTAAAATTTATTCGCCGCTTTAATACTTCCATAGCGATACCTCTCCGGTTTTTAAATATGAATACGGTGTAATTTTCTCAATATCCGTAACTCTTGTGTACCAAACGTGGGATTGAAATCGTGATCGCTATTGGCAGTCATCAGTGCAGGGTGTAATTGAATTGCAGCCTCTAGGACTATGAGATAACCCTTCTCCAAATAACAAGTAATTTTTTAATAAATGAAGCTTATATCCAAACGGTGTCCATGCGTCGGGTTGTCTCCCTAAAATATGGCGAGGGGGCCGTTGGCTGGCCATGCGTCATACTCGTGAACGGGTGCTACTTATGGTGACTGGTCGTACTGGAATTCGTGTATGCGGTGATGTTAATTATTTCGACTACTCGTATGAGTTTGCGTGTTGTTCCCACGAGAATGTACCTAAGTGCGTGCTCCTATTTCACCATGCCTCCTGCTAATAGAGGACAACTCTTTGTTTTTAATTTATGTTATTACTATTAATTACTTAAGTTGTCATGTGGAACATGGTTTAATGGTTGCAGCTCCTTACAGACGTTGTGTAAAAAAAAACATGGCGATTAAAAAGAGTGGCGGAGAGTTTATTGCCAGTTCTTTTCTTCCGTTCTACGGAACGCCCTTGATTTGAGAACTGGCATCAAATGTAAAATTAGAAGCATTAATATGTATTTCTTTACTGACAAGTCATAAGTGTACAATGTGTTACCTATATGATTAAATGATTTTTGAATTTTAAATTTTTGTCTCCATGATCTAGTGGATAACGTTCACAGAACATAAGCTGGAGGTTTTGATTTCCATTCCTCGCTAACTAAGATATACGTAACTTAACTAATGTTAGGTTACATAACTCGTGCAGCATTAAAATAATATAAATTAAAAACTAGGAAATATTGTACTAAAAGCGACTTCAAACTAAAATCGCTAACATCACAAAACATCAGTCGTAAAATAAATACTATTTGTGACGTGATTGAAATGCTGACCTCCCACCAAGGTTAGCGGAACAGACTTTAAGGCGCCAATGTTTATACTATTAAATTATGAAATGCAACATCGTATTCCATTTCCTGTTATATTTAACCATATTCAATAGGACCACGTTCTTAATTCGTTAAGAGTATGTTTAGCGATTTCTTAAAAGATATTTTTTAAAAAATGCTAGCAATTCAGTACTATAAACAAAAAATATTTATTCAACTATAAAATTTAACCGGAATGATTATAATATCCATTTCGGCGAAACATCTTCTCACTCAATAACAAAGCCTCTAATTTTACATAAATAATAGATATTTTGTTAATTCTTGCATTTCCACTATTCAGATTATATTGTTTAAATTATAGATATTCATACTTCACATATCTTTCAAATTCACAATTTTCTGTAAAATGTTTATATTTCTATGTTCTCTTGTTTAACTAAAACAATATAGGGGAAGGTCGGGACCCTTCGTACGGTTTTCACATTTTATTTTTTATTTTTTTTCTTTTTCCATGAATCAATCATCTGATAGCTTAAATTTATAGTCTTACTATCTGAGATTCATATTAAAAAATGACAAATGATTTCATCTGATGTTTCAACCATAATTATGATTTAAACTAAATCTGGAATACGTACGAATCTGCTCCATCAACGGGGCACCTTCGTACAGTGTTGGGGGTACATTCGTACGCTGTGGGGTAGTTCCGTACGTGCGATTAAAACGACACATATAAATCAAAATTCATTTATTAGCAATGAAATTAAACACAAAAATAAAGATTTAACTTCTATTAAACAAAAATAAAATAGTTTTCTTATAGTGAACAAAAATTACATAGCTTTTCTTAAGTAAAACAAAATTTAATTAGTTAGGTATCTTAAATTTAGAATCACATTATTTAATCTTTGGTGCGGATTAGCACTTCTTATTTTCGGGTGTGCAGTATAAATTCGTGGTTTTCCTGGCCGTCGTCGCCATTTTGTTTGTTTTATTACTTCTTACAACATGCGGATAGGGTCGAAACGCTTCTGGTGACAAAACTGACTTCGAAGGAACTACTATTTGATGGATTGGTAAATTATTCAAAGCATCTGGTTCACAAGCATCAAAATCAACCTTAATAAAGATAATAAAAATAGGTATTAATATATATTTACATCGACGATAGCAATGATAGCAACACAGGACAAAGTTAATGCAAATATTAGCAATTAGCACACTAACACAATCTTTCCTACTACCAGAGGGTTTAGTCAAGATGCCTTAACAGTAGTGTATGTAGCAAGTCGAAAACTTAATTTGTATGAAAATGACAGTTCGTGTCGACAAAATATTTTCATACAAATTTAGATGTACAATTCGTTCAAATGTGCCCCATCTAGTGCTGTCCGAAAGTACCCCACTAACTGAATAACAACAAAATATAACGAATTTTAATATTAATAGGAAGACGTCATAAATTAAGTATTGGAGACGTATCTTAAGTATATTTTGCTAGTTACTTATAGAATACTCTACACGAAAACTTATTTTATCTACGGTAACAAGAGACAAAAACATTGATCAAAAAATTACATACCGAACGCGAAAACACGTGTATTCCTGTAACTTTACTCTCATCGGTGCGAATTTCGCGAAACTTCGGTGATGTATAGTTGGTACCTCGACTCATGCACACATACAAAAACAAGACTGTACTTTGTTTCGTACAAGTTTTATTTTGACTGTATGAATGTGCCCCGCGTACGAAGGGTAACGATCTTCCCCTACGTACTGTTATTAAAAAAAAATTACACAAAAAAAAATAAACCAGTGGCGCTACAATCTTTTTAGATCTGGGCCTCAGATTTCTGTATCTGTTTCATGATCATATTTTGTCATTAGGCAAGCGGTAGCCTCCTGTGCCTGAAACACGCCGTCAACTTTTTTGGGTCTAGCCGGTTGTCTCACGATGTTTTCTTTCACCGTTCGAGCGAATGTTAAATGCGCACATAGAAAGAAAGTCCATTGGTGCATAGCTGGGGATGGAACTTACGACCTCAAGGATGAGAGTCGCACGCTGAGGCCAACACTGCTCGCTGAATTACAGTTTGACATATAGTATTCTGTATTTATTTCTGTATTCTGTTATTAAAATCTTACAATCTTGTTAACTTGTTTCTTGAGCCCACTAGAATTACAAGCTACATGCATAGATAATGTATAGACAGGCAATGCAAACCTCAATTACAACTGATCTTAGCTCAGATCATTGTGGACAGTTAGTGGCGCTAAAATGTAAAGTGGTGAAACAAGTAAATAAGAGCAGTGTGTTTGTTCCAGTGAATAAAAAGCGAATGGTGAGATTTAGACATAATATAGGTAAACGCCTACCTTTATTACCGGTAGGTACTACCGTTGATACACAATACAACAATCTAAGTGATTGTATTAATAAAGAGTTCAACACCATCTTTACCCCAAAGAAAGTCTCTCATTCGCAGTGTAAATCGTTTAGTGATTGGGCGACAGCGGGAATTTATAAAAGTAGACAACGGTTGTATGACCTTTACGCTGAAAAGTCATACAATCATAATGAAGAATTTATTCTTTATGTTCGAAATTATTCGAAATTATTTAAGAAAGTTTGTTACGCGGCCAAGTCCTTAAATATCAAAAACAAGATTAAAAATAGTACCAATAAAACTAAAATGACTTGGAAGATAATTGATAGTGAAACTGGAAGAGTCAGGGATCGCAATCAAGACATCGAACTATGTGTCGATAACACTATAATCAAATCTAACGAAGAGATAGCGATTGTTTTTGATAAGTACTTTTCTGACATTCCAATTTCGACTACTAAGTCTCTTCAATCATCTCCCGCCCTCGCCGAATCGCTGCTCAAAGATAATGTAAACGAGTGCAAGGTCAGTTTTTCATTCCGACCCATTGGTGCCGACGATATAGTGAGGATATTTAGAACCATAGATATTAAGAACACTACCGATCTTTGGGGTATTTCTGTAAAAATAATTAGTAGCATAATTGATGTAATTGCTCCCCATCTAGCTATAATTTTCAACAATTGTATTAAAAGTGGCGAGTTTCCCGATCTAATGAAACATAGTAAAGTTATTCCTTTATTTAAAGCAGGTAGTATGTCCGACCCCAGTAACTTTAGACCAATTTCCGTACTACCTACTTGTAGTAAAATATTTGAAAAAATTATATTAAATCAACTGGTAAGTCATTTTAACGTAAACAAATTATTACATAATAATCAGTTCGGTTTTACCAAGGGTCGCTCGACAGCCGATGCCGGTGTTGAGTTATATAGATATATAGTTAAGGCTTGGGAGGAGTCGCATGACGCTTTAGGTGTTTTCTGCGACTTATCCAAAGCATTTGATTGTGTCCAACACGAGACCTTAATCGGGAAACTCCGCCACTATGGCATCAAGAATACCGCACTGAATCTTCTGACTTCCTATTTACACGGAAGAACTCAGAAGGTTGAAGTGAATGGT